CCTGGTGGTGAGAGCACCTTGGCATGGAAAGGAGATGTCACGAGATAGCAAGATTCCGGGCGGATTGCTGATTGTGACAAGAAGTCCGTGGCACAAGGAAGGACTCCGTCTATCCCTTATGAGCTGAAGATTTGATTTTTCTAAAGGGTGGTGCCAGACCGAGTCTGGATAACTTTTAGAAATGTAAATGTGCTTGGGAATTTGGTGGGAGGAGGATAAGGAAGTGTTTCTGTGTAGTTTTCATTCTCCTTGTGTGTTTTTTTTTCCATTGTGTGTGTAGTTTAGTAATTGTGTATGTAGTTTAGTTAATAAACTTCTCTTTATGTTTAAGTTGGAGCCTGCTTTGCTTATTTTCCTGGCCACATCTCACAGCAGATATCAGGTAAAAGGTATATTTATGGGGGCTCTGGCTTTGCCAGGCCTAAACCAGGACATTTATTTGGTTTCCCCTGACTGGGAATCGAATTTTGAGAGAGTGATGGGATGAAGCTGTGAGATGGGACCAAAGAGGAATAAGAACAAAGCATGTATTAAGTTGGTTTATTGTGTAGAAATGTTTTGTAATTTATTTAATAATTTTAGTGTTTGTAGTCTCAAGAGGCGAAGGGTGGAATGTCGTGGTTTGACCGGAAATGGGACATCTGGGATATGTTGTTTTGCTGTGGTTACCAATGGATGGTCAGATTTTAAGATGAGCACCTGGTTTGACCACTGAGGCGTTTGGATCCGCCTCTTGAGACTACGAACCCAAGGGGTTAAAAGCACAGCTCTTGCCCTTCAGAGGTCTCTTGGGATTTCCGGCGTGAAGGAGCTGGGCCTCCCTCCCCCGGCCCAGTTGCTGGCTGGGCTAGGGGAGGGGAAAGCCATGTGGCCCATCTACGGTAGGCCCGGATTTGGTGGAAGGGTGGAGGGAGCATCGAGCGACTGTTTATCCACCCCCCCCCCCCTTTTTTGGAGACGGAGAGAATGCAGCCCGTGCTGGAACTGCATAACTATATTTATGGGGGCTCTGGCTTTGCCAGGCCTAAACCAGGACACTGGGGTAAGGAAAGAAAAGGAGAGGAAGGAATGAGGAAGGAAGGACAGAAAGAGAAGAGGAAGGAGCTGTGGACAAGGAGAGGATGGGATTTGCCTCTGTGCTAGAGGGAACGGGAAGGGATCCCACCAATTCATCCCTGGCAGGACAGTGTCAGCTAACATAAACAGGGCAGGAGACTTTTTCTCCTTTTAATGCCTGCATTAAAAGTGATTAGCTCGGGATTGGGAAGCTCGACGGGTCTGCAGTCTCCGTTGTCTCTCCAAAGGTGACTCGCAGGAGGATATTTGCAGCTTTGTCCACTAGGGACAGAGCTGGGGGTCTGGTCCTCGTTGGAGCTTTTTTTGGGCGTGACCCAGATGTTGACTTTCCCAGCTTCGCTCCCTTCAGGACCCGGTCCGAGAAGATCCCCACACCCAGGGTGAGGGGCAACAAAGGCCCCCAGCGTCCCCGCAGGTCCAGCACTCGGCTCCTCACGTTCAGGCATCACTCCAATTTCTCAACTCTATATTGGCTCGTTGTTTTGGGGGTCTTTTCAGTAAGTTTGGAGTGGTAGCTTCTCATGGCATGCTGGTCCTGAAGTTATTTAGCATGTCCCCTCTCCCACGTTTAGTCCTTTCTCCTCACTGTCTGGGGAGGTCCCTGCCCTTCACTGTCTCAGGAGAAGAGTCATTAACTTAGTCTTGGCCAGGGCCTTTACTGATACAAAAAAGAACCATTAACGACAACAACTTGTAATTATCATAACAAACAGGTAGCTCTTCAGCAGCAACAGTGATCTGACTAGTTTTTGTAACCTTTTTCTCACCAAAAAAAAAGGCGGATTTTTGTTTATAACATCAGCAGTGGGATTGTCCTGCAGCCAGGGGCAATGCTGGGCTGAGACACAGAGCAGAGGAGAGGGGCAAAGGGGCAGTGACTTCCTCCTCGCCTGCCTCTGTGTCCCAGGCCATTTTCCTTTTCCTTGCAGCCTCCTCCAGCTTCATCCAGACAAAGTTTGGGATTGACAAATCCTGGCTTGGGGGAAAAACAGTGGGTGAGCCCTTGGTCCTGCTGCCCAAGTACAGCTCCAGAAGTAACTGCCCTGTTCACAGTCGGATGGGCCCAGACCCTGCTCATCTCCAGCTTCTCCCACCCCTCCAGGCTGCTGGGATCCCTCAGCTCTGGGATTGGCCTTTGCTGCTCTCCCCACTCTGATGCCAATGTCCCCCCAGAACTGGTACCACCTCCCCAGCCAGTACAGACAGTTTGCCACCGGAACCCTCCACATGTCTCCAAAAGGGCATCTGCATCTCACTCTTGGAGCCCTGCAAGATCCAAACATCCCCTACCCTGCAAACAAATCCTCCCAGAGGCCCCCCCAGTGGACTTGGGGCAAGTTCCCCCTCCCTACTCACCTGTGGGATCTGGGGGATCGATGCTGTCAGGGCCAGGGGAGCTGCAGACTCAGCGGGCAGGTGGGAAAAGCGTGGTTCTGCTGTGACGACTCCTCTTCCTCCTCCTGTTCCTGCGCCTCCTTTTCTCCATCCTCCTCCTCCTCCTCTCCTTCCTCTTCCTATTGCTCTTCCTTCCCTGCTCATTCCAGATCCCATCTCTCCCCCATGGCTGCAGCATCACCAGCATTTGGGTGGAGGGACCCCCCATGAGCCCCCCAGGGATGGGCAGGGGGCTTGGGGACCCACCCAGTGCGGATCCATTCCCCCCCCGAGCCCCAGGGAATCACTCCAGGAATCGAATGATGGGGACACAAAGGGATCCCCATGGAACCGCTCTTTTTCTGTTCCATCCCCACCGTTCCCTTCCCTCACTCATTATTCCTCCAACCCAAAGACCCCTCCCAACTCAGTTTGGGGGTGCCATCCTCTCGCACTCTGAATCCTCTTTTCCCCTGCTCTTCCACCCCTTCTCCATTGTGCCTCCAGCCCCAGCCCTCACCCCTGTGTTTGGTTTTGGGGGATGCAGGCCCCTCCTGCTCAGTCTGGAAGGTCACATCTCTACTTTCCCTCAATTCTGGCAGCTCCTGGCTGCTTTTTCCTGGGAGGAATCCCTCCGTTTTGGTACTTTTGGGGTTTAGCTTAGAAGTGTGACAGCTCTCTCTGGCTTTCCCCTCCCTGTTGTGGCCCCTCAGCTGCCCCTGACACCCTGGGGGTGCTGGGATTTCCCTCCTGGGGACAAGGACGTTCATCCCCTTCCAGGAGCCCAATGCCTGGCTGGGGCTCCAGGTCAGGGGGTCCTTGAGCAGCTGCCCCAGAACCTCCCCCAGGGTCTCCCAGCACAGCTGGAGCTGCTCAGCCTGGGGTCCCCAAAGGCCTCAGCAAGACCCAAGTCCCTCCCAGGAACCCTCAACCCCCTCAAACCCAGCATCCCCCACATCCCCTGCAAGTTCCCCCCATGGCACCGGCCATGGCCATGGCCCCACATGTCACTGCCCATGTCCCACCATGTCCTCACCCATGGCTGTCTCCCCACCATGTTTCCATCCCTGTCATTGTCCCCCACATCTCCATCCATGCCTGTGTCCCCCCATGTCCCCACAAATGGCCCCATCCCTGTTAATATCCATGTGTCCCCAAGTCACTCTCCAGGTGTCCATGTGTCCTTCCATGACCACACCCATGTCTTAGTTCAATGTCTATTTTTACCTCAATATGGGATATTTTAAGGGGATAAAGAGAAATTAAAACAAAATCATGGCCAAAAGAAAAGGATTTCCTTGTCCATACCAGCTGAGGATCCATGTGCTTGGGTAGAAGGGAAGAACCTTTTCTGGTGGAGTTTCTATCCCACTGTCTCCAAAATCTTGGTCTTTTCCCCAGTTTTTCACCATTTGCCAACAGAAGACACGCTTGGGCAATAAGAAATCAAAACTGTGGAATCCCTGAAGTTGGAAAAGACCTTGTCCTGGTTCAGGGCAAATTTGGGAGAGAACCCCTAAAGGGGTTCCTTTAACACAGCAGATTCAATTGGCCCTTCCCCCAGCTGGTTCAGGAAAAATAAAATACCTCCTTGGAGAAAAGTGGAAAAAACTGTTTATTAAACAATAAAACCTAAATAATATGAAACAATAAAACCTCTTGCCACTCTAAAAGAGAGACAAACTCACAAATTCCCTCCATGGTCTGTAGGCTCAGCTCACTCAGTCTCTTATCAATCTCTCCGATGCTGGAAATGTCACAGGCCAGGCCCAGCCCGGTGGGCCACAGGCATGAGCTGCCCATGCTCTTCTGGTGTTCAGGCCAGAGCAGGTTTAAACAGGTCCAAAGAAAGGGGAAAAACTCCACAGTCCAAAGAACTTGTTTGGTTCAGCTAGCTAAAACTAACTAAAAGCAAAGGAGAGCTCTGTCCCACTGTCTGTCCATCCACAGACAACACAGTGCAGGAGCACGAATGTGGAGGAGTGAGTGCGGTTTCTGAAAACAAACTCTGTGCTTCTTCTCTCCCCCTTCACTCTCAGGACAAGTCTTGAAGGTGCAAAACTTACTATTCAGCACAAACAGAACAGACTGGGGATACAAGCACCAAATAGTCAACCCAGAATATACCTCCAAGACCATTCAATACTCCTAGATGTCACAGGAAGATAGAATTGAATGCAAAAGATTTTATGGGGTTGAAAGTCGACAAATCTGCTCTCCCCATGGAATTCCCGTTATAGGTCTGCGTCCCGATGGATGCTCCCGCCGCTGGGTTTATCTAGGTACCCTCAGGGAACCAGGAAGATGTGGAGCCCCCAACCCAGATGCCTTCCAACTTGGATCACCAGGACCACAGATCACCAGGGCTCTGCCCAACAGGGGTCACTGGGGATCATCCAACACGGATCCTCTCATGGGGGATGGAGCTGGAGCAGCACACAAAGCTCTTCCCACATTCGGGGCACTCACAGGGCTACCCTTAGTGGCGCCTCCGTTGATGTTTGGTCAAGATTGAGCTCGATGAGAAGCTCATCCCACACTCCCCACACTCGTAGGGCCTCTCCCCCGTGTGGATGTGCCAGTGCAGGGTGAGGGCGGAGTTTAGCTTGAATCCCTTCCCACAGTCGGGGCAGCGGAAGGGCCTCTCCTCCCTGTGACTCCGCTCATGTTTGAGGAGATCGGAGCTCCTGTGAAAACTCTTCCCACACTGGGGACACTTGTAGGGCTTCTCCCCACTGTGGATGCGCTGGTGTTTTCTCAGGTCAGTGTGCCACCCATAGCTCTTCCCACATTCCAAGCAGGTGTAGGGCCGTTCCCCCGTGTGGATCACCTGGTGCCGAATCAGGGCCCAGCTTTCTCTGAAGCTCCTCCCACATTCCCCACACTTGTAGGGCTTTTCCCCAGAGTGGATCTTCTGGTGTTCTGTCAGCTTGCACTTCATGCTGAAGCTCTTCCCACACTCCCTACACTCATAGGGCTTTTCCCCAGTGTGGATCCTCTCATGTCTCCTCAGGCCAGAGCTCTGGCTGAAGCTCTTCCCACATTCCACACACTCATAGGGCTTCCCTCCTGTGTGGATCCTGTGGTGTTGCATCAGGCTCCCCCTCTGCCTGAAGCTCTTCCCACATTCCCCGCACTCAAAGGGCTTTTCCCCAGTGTGGATCCTCTGGTGTTGGATCAGGACCGAGTTGTGGCTGAAGCTCTTCCCACACTCCTCACACTCAAAGCGCCTCTCCCCAGAGTGAATCACCTGGTGCTGCCTCAGGCTGGAGCTCCAGCTGAAGCTCTTCCCACATTCCTCACACTCGTAGGGCCTCTCCCCAGTGTGGATCACCTGGTGCTGGATCAGGTCTAAGCTCCGACTAAAACCCTTCCCACATTCCAAGCACTTGTGGGGCTTCTCTCTGCCATGGGGCTTCTCCACCAGCTCGGAGCTCTGGCTGGATCTCTGGCCGCCTTCCTGGCTCAGGGGGGCTCTTTCCTCCCCACAGCTCCCTGGGCTGGGTTTGCTGCCCCTCCTCGTGCGGAATCTCCAGGGCTTTTCCTCCTGCTCCATTCACACACGCCCTAGGAATGAAAAATCCTGGTTTGGGGAAAAGAACAAAATGAGAGTGTCTTGGACTGGGAGCTCCTCCTTTCCCAAGTTCATCTCATTAAGTCATTGGGCATCTTGTATGTCTAAGAACCTCCAAAACACCAAGATTCAGCACAAAAGTCCTCCAAACATCAACACACAGATCAAAAACTTCCCAAACATTAAAATTCAACAAAAGCACCTTCCAAATATAAAGATTCAGCCCCCACAAAAAAACAAAGCGCCAACAATTAGCCCAATAAAGCTCAGAAACACCAAGATTCACCCTCGGGAAAATCGTGGATCCCAATCCCTGGTCACCTGCTGCATGGTAGGGGGGAATGCTACTGGGGCTGGCAGGGAAGCTGCAGATACAGGGAGAAGTGGAACCTTGTGGTGCCTCCTGTTTCTGCTCCTCCTCCACATCCAGTGTCCTTGCTCTTTCTCCCACTCCTCTTCCTCCTTCTGCACAATCCCACCTTCTCCTCCCATGTGCATCGTTTGACCCTTTTGTTCCTCAATTCTGCTTCTCCTTCCCTTCTCCTCCTGCCCCAGGCCCAGCACCCACTGCCGGCTCCCTCTTCCCCCCAAACCCACAGCATCCCACGGCAGGGGCAGGGATGGAGCTGGGGCAGGTCGGGCTGGGGCAGCGCTGGGCTCTCGGCCGCTCCCGCCCGCACTCGGTCCCCACTGCAGCCGCTCCCGCCAGGACAGCGCTGGGGGGCCCGGCCTTGGCGCCGCCCCACTCCCACCTCCCCAAATTCCCCTCGCATTTGGACAACAGGGCATGGATGGTGTTGGTGTGCTGCAAAGGGATTGCGTGAAGGGGAGTGTGCAGCAATATGGTTAAGGCAAGAAGCTGCAGGAGGAATCTATGTGGGAAGGAAAAGGATGATGGAAAAGAGGAGGAAGAGAAAAATACTGAGGATTGGGATGTTTATCAGCAGGGCCTTAGCCTCAAAACTTGTTCAGCTGATTCAGATCATTTGTACCCCCGGTGTCCAGGACAGGAAAACAAGGAGGTCAGGGTTTCAGGGGGTTTCTCTGTGGGGGGCAGCGGCAGCACCGGGCGCAGAGCTGTGGCACCGGGAGCACGGGCTGGGGGCCTGTGGGGAGCTGCGGGGCCGGGCCAGGGCTGTGGGGCAGCCGGGGCTCAGCGCCGGGCGCTGCCTGACCCCACCAGCCCCGGGCAGGGCCGGCAGCGGCCCCCGGCCCCCAGGAGGCTGCGGGACGCCCCGGCCGCTGCCCGGCCCCGCGGAGCTGCCGGCCCTGCCCACCGGGGGCGCCTTTGGACACTGCGGCAGGACAGGGAGCGGCTCTGGGATACGGGCTGGGGAGGGCACCCTGAGCACAGGGAGGAGGAGCAAGGAACACCTGGGAAATGTGGAATGTATATTTTAGCATGGAGATTATCTTTTAAGGATTTTATTAGGGTTACTGTAGATACAAATGATTTTGCAGAAAGCTCAGCAGCTGTCAGAGGATGAGCACCCACAGGCACTGAGGGGGCTGCAGGAGGGGCACAAGAAGGCCCTGCAGCACTTGGGCACAAAGGCACAGCAGGTGAATGCAAGAAGGGAGCAGCAAAAGGCCAAGCTGAAGGCAAAGGCCAGGGCACAGTTCCTACAGCCCCTGAGGGATCAACCCCAGGGCCCAAGGGGGCCCCAGCACCCAGGGCACGGCTCGGCCACAAGCACCTGGCAGAGGCATTGCCCTCCTCAGCAGGGGAGAGCCCACCCAAACAGCCCCTGGCAAGGAACCAGGGCTCCAGCTGCAGGGCACAAGGACACTGCAAGCACAGACAGCAGCACCCTCAGGACCAGCAAGCCCACCCCTTGATGGACATGGATTGGCAGGGCTGTCACAGCTCCCATCACACCAGGGACCCTCCACACTGGAGCCCTTGAGAACATTCAGGGTGGGTCTGCATTGAGAGGAGGCATTTCCTGATGGACACAGGGGCCTCTCAATCCACTCTGAATCTTAGACCCAAGGGGGAAAATGATAAAAATATGTCTGATTACTGAGGAGCTAAGTGGGAAACATGTATGGTTTTATTCAACCACTATTAGTAGATCTACGAGATGGGTTTGAAATGCATGAATTTTTATTTGCTCCTAATTGTTATCATGATTTACTGGGAAGGGATTTGATCGTTAAACGGGGAATGCAAATTAATATTATAAAAAGGGATACAGAGGCCAGTTCTGTTGTGCCTCTGTGTCAAATGTCTGGCCAGGACTATGCTGACGTGAACCATGAAGTTCTGGCAGCCCCAGGGAAAAAGGGAAAATTAGATCTGGAGCCTCTCCAAAGCTCTCTGAAGCAACCAGGACAAGTGGTGTCTAAAAGCAACACCCTGTTCCAGGGCAGGGAAGGAAGGGGAATCAGACACAGCGCAGGTCACCGCCCCATGCTCAGCTCAACCCGCCCAGCTGTGGGTGCTTGTCAGGGCCTGGCACTGAAATGCCCTGAGCAGGAAGGCTCCAATATCTTCTGCTGACACCATGGCACCTAACAGGGGGGCAAAAGCAATTCTCACTGCTTCAGCAACCACTGGAGCAGATATCAAGGCACATTCTCCCACAGCAAGCTGGGCTGGCACACAGCCTGCCCTGGCACTTTGCTGCTGCCAACACCCAGCCAGGACATCGGCTCCTGCCTAAGGAGTGCCAAGCAGCACCACTGGTGGCCAAGGGGCCCATGCCAAGTGTCCCTGAGGCCACAAACAGCCTCCAGCACAGCTCAACATGGGGGGACCCCTCAGCCTGGCCTCAAGGACTCTGAAGCCCCGCAGATTTGCACTTCCCGCCTGCAGCAGGAGGATGGGAGGCCGCCCCTGAGCCCGCCCTGAAGGCAACGCAGCAGCAGCCAGGGCTCCACAGCGGGCCAAGCCCCTGCGCCTGCCCACAGATCCTCGGCTGGAATCCTCTGCAATCCTGGCCACCCTCCTCTGCCATCTCCAGCCACTGGGGCCAAGCCTTGCTGCCACTGCTGCAGCTTCAGCGCTGGCTGGGCCTGCACTGCCACAGCTGCTGGGGAACACCACGGCACAATTCCACTCTGGGGCTCACTGACACCCACACTCTGGGCTGCCTGCCACTGCACTGCTGCAAAATGTACCGATTTCGGTTCTTTTAAACCTTATTTCTCTGCTCAGGCTTGGTTTGTCTTTGCCTTGGGGAAAGGAATTTTAAAGATTTTATTTAAGGGGTGTTATACTGCTCAATGGAGATGAGTTTAACATCTGAACAGACTGGGAATAGCCCAAAAGACACCCACAGAGATAACGACCAGCAACAAAACATCAACATTGCCCAGCAGCAAACAGCAACCAACAGCTACCCCAGACACTGCCCCCGGCAGAGCTGGAGACACCTGGGCTGGAAAAAGCTGAGAAGGAAATCCAGGAGTGTGGAGACCGAATTCACACATCAGAGGGGAAGAAATCCCGGTCCAACAGGAAACCAAATACTAAAAACTTACACAACTTAGAAGCAATGAACATTAAAGCAGTGGATTTCTATGGGTTTTGGATGGTATGAAGTGTAGGAAAAATCTAGTAAAACTCACGTATCATTGCACAATTTTCTCTGCACAGCTGGGCTATTTGTGAAAGAAATTATTTCTGTTGCACATCCTGGGCAGAATCAAGTAATGCCTTGACTCTCTAACACTGAAAATGTTGCAGAATTTTGGCTCTTCACACCGTTTTGGTGACAAGATTACAACATTATAATGTTTTTTTCTTAATAATCCTTCTTTTAGTCCGTAAGGTTTGGGTCAGGGGTGTCAGAACAAATTTTTCTTCTTAGGAGAAGTAGAGGCTTTTTGGGTATGTGTGTGTTTTTCTCTTAGTGATGGTGAAATAAACAGGGCCAGGAGACTTCTTCTCCTTTTTAATGCCTTTATTGAAAGTGATCAGCTCAGGATTGGGTGGCTCGGCGGGTCTGCAGGTCCCGTTGTCTCCAAAGGTAACTCAGAGGAGGAGGAAATGCGCAGCTCTGTCCACAAGGGGCAGAGCTGGGGGAATCCAGTCCTCGTGGGAGCCTTTAGGGCGTGATTCCCCGTCAGGTGGTACTTTTGCCGGCTCAGTCGGCCTGGTCTCACCGCCGGGGTCGTCTCTCATGGTCAGGGCGAGAGGGTCCGAAGGTGTTCCGCGTCTCTGCAGGTCCAGCATTCGGCTCCTCACGTCCAGACATCACTCCAGTCTCTCAATTCTTAGGTGGCTCGTTGTTTTGGGGTTTTTCCGTACAGCGGGGGACCCATGCTGCATTGTGGTCTTGGAGTCACTTTGCATAGCCCCCCCTTCACCTTCTCAGGTGTCTTCGCCTCATGTTCCGGAAGGTTCCCACCCTTCTGGGAAAGGTACAACTTAGCCTCGGGCGAGGCTCTGCTGATACAAAAGGAGCGATTAGCCACAACGACTCGTGATTACAATAACAAAACACGAAGAACTTCAGCAGCTACCGTGGTCTGGCTGCCTTTTTGTAACTTTTTCTCACAAAAAAAATATTACCCGAATTTTGTTCGTAACAATGGCACAATTTTGGTCGGGTTTCTCGATGTTCACACTTAGGATGCATTTTGAAAAACTAGAAAAGATTTAAATGTGACGCTGTAACTCATCAACAGTTAACAGAATACTGCTTAAAAAAGGAAAAAAAAAAAGGCATCAAAAAAAAGCAAGGGAAGGGGGGTGGGAAAGGAACGGGGGAGTCACCAGATTACTGCCCTGGAAGAGAAGCTTTGGTTCTAGTCAGCCTGCAGAGGAGCTTTAGAAATGCAAATGAACACTGCTGGGCAAAGTGTGGACAATGCATCTGGGTCTCTTGCCTGGGGCAGGAATTGGGCTGATTCCCTCTGCCCCTCACCCCAAGCTCTGCCTGCTTGCACTGATGGAAATTGCACAGCTCAAGGCAGAGCCCAGGGGGAGGATATCTGACCCTGCAACAGAAACGGGTGAAGCTGCAAAGGGAAACAGCACATGGACAATGTTGGGAAAACTTCACTATAAATAAATGGGGGGAGGAATCATCCCTCTGCCCACTCCAACATGTGCTGTCACTGTCTGTGTT